CGACTGGACTAGGATTTAGACCAGCTCCAGTTCCCCACCCACTCTTTTATTCCTCCCCGCTTGTTTCTTGGCCTTTCCTTCTAGCACTCCTTCGGGCTGCTCCAGGCAGCAGGCAGCAGGAAGGACTTGGTCAGGTGGGTGGCACGGTGCAGGGCCTGGGCCCTGTCCTCCTCCTGGTGTATGGTCCCAGAAAGGAATTCAAACAAAACTCAGACATAGGTGGGTCTGCATCCCTCCTGAAACAGCAGGAATGCTGGCCTTTCTCCCAGAGAAAGAGGGCGGCCGCTTCCTGGTGGCCCTCAGCAAACCCCAAGCTTTGGATGAGCAGAGCCCCGGAATGCAAGGACCCTTATTCCCAGTGACCCAGGAGCAGGGCCATTCATTCATCCACCAAACAGCCCATCTCTCCATGGGAAGCCACCCCTTCCCCGGCCAGTGGGAGGAACCTGGAAAGGCCTGGCCCCACCCCCTGCTCAAGTCTGGTCAATGAAAAGACCTCATCCTCTGGCACCAATCACTTCTTTGGGAATTGGGCACGTGACCTACAGGGGCCCAATGAGAGGCTTCCCTGGGAGTCTTGTTGAAACTCCGGGAGAGGCGATGGGGCCTGCTGCTGAGTTAAAATCTCTGTTAAGATTTGCCTGAGGGGGGGATTGCCCTGCCACAGAGACAGGGGGGATGGGGGGATGGGGGTGGGAGGGATATTATCCATGGTGGTGGAAAATGGGCACTGTGGAGGGATGGGTATCTGATCATTGTATAATTGAAACCAAAGCACAAAAAATTATAAATCTACAACTTTAAAATAAATAAAATAAAATAAAGGGGAAAAAAAAAAAGATTTGCCTGAGGGACTGGAGCCACAGCACGGGGGTGGGGGGGGGTGGGGGGGGGGGGCTTTGCCTTACACGCTGACAACCCTGGTTCGACTCCCAGCATCCCATCGGGTCCCCTGAGCACTGCCAGGAGTAATTCTTGAGTGCAGAGCCCGGAGTAATAACCCCTGTGCATCGGCGGGTGTGACCCAAAAAGAAAACAGACAAACGGAAGATCTGCCGTGAACTACCACCCATGGCAGAGTTCAGCGGAAGGAGACCTGCACTGAAGGAAGCAGAGCTGGAGGCGGAGAACGACCAACCACAGGGAACCCCACGCGAGCCCTGGATATAAAGTTCTCCAGCCAATGATGGTCTTTCGCCGCTTTATCCAGTTCGAGTCGGAATTCCCTCTCCCGTAACAGAGAGAATCCTGACTCCCACACGGCAGTCCCGGCTCTGGCGCCCACCCTTCGACGTGGGACCTCACCAGAGTGCCTGCCCCCCACCCAGGGGTGGCTGGGAGAAAGGCTTTGCCTCCCACAGATCGCCCCCAGTCCGTTTGGAATGAAAGGCCCCTGCAGATGCAATAAAGCTTGCAAGGAAACCGAAGCGCCAACATCACCCCCAACTGGAGACCTTTTCTTCCCCTCCCGAAGCAGCCATGGGCCTGGCCCTGAGGCTGGTGCACAACCTGGGGAAGTGGAGGGAGGAGGCGTGAATCATAAATGTGTTCTAAATAGAGGCACTAATCAGAGCTGACATTTACTGGGGGCAGAGACTTCGGCCCGCTCGCAGCTACATCCCTGGCACCTTAAATAGTGCGTGACGCACTGGATGCACCCTAAAATTGGTTCAGTAAATCAGAGTGCCGACGGTGTGTGAGGCATACACATGCCATGGCCCAAACTTCCACAGTAGCATCGGGAGGTTCAAAGTAAGAAACCCGCGTTCAGAGGGGTGAGGTGACTTGCTCCGGGATGACCAGCTACACTGCTGCAGAAATCGTCTCCAGACCTCCGTGTCTGCTCAGAAAAGGGTCGTGGGGCGCACTGTGCGGGTACCCAGGAGAAGCAGGGAGGGAGAGAGGAGGGGGGGCAGGATGGAAGGAGGGCTGGGACACAGGGTGCTGGAGGCGGCGGCAGGGAGGGCGAGGGGGTGTGCCTGGTGGGGCAGGTCAGGGTTGTCATCGAGGGGGTCACAGTAGGCTGAAGGCATCGGGCGTGGGAGAGCCCTCAGGGCAAAATACCTGGCACTTCCACCCGTGCTCATCCCGCCCCACCCACCCCCAGAGTCCTCCCCTGCCTCTTGGTGGTGTTCATGTCTTCCCGACTCCCCGCCCCCCGGAGACCCCCCTGTGATGACAGCCTTTGCCACCCTCCCCCACTGCTTCCGGGCCTCCTGCCGAGAACCCCAGAGAGGCCCCTTTGCCCATTTCTGGGACCCCCGCCGCTTAGAGCCACAAGCAGCAACCTCTGTCGCTTCCAGCACCCCAGCCTAGAGCCATGGGCGCTATCACCGCTGCCTTTCCATACCTCACTTCGCTCACTCCAGCCTCCCCCCAGCCCTGATGACCACCACCAGTGAAGAAATGGGAGCCCAGAGAAGCCAAGCAACTATCCTGAGGTCACACAGCTGGGAAAAAAAGGAGACGGAACTTGGAACCCCAAACCATGTATGTTCCTCACACGATGAAGAGGGCTTGCTCTGAAGCCAGAGCACCGGAAGCTGAATCCCAGCCCTGCCCCTTACACATGGGTCAATCACGGATATGTAGAGGGAATTCTCAGCCTCAGTTTCTCTCCCTGTAGTGAGGAAGTTTTGCTCTCTCAAGGAGTGATCTTTGGCTTAAGTGAGAGACGGATCTACAAAGTGCTGAGAATAATGCCCGGCCGGGGTGGTTCTCTGCCACAGTTCCTGTTAGGGTTACTCTGAAGAGTGACTATGAGGGGCTAGAGAGACACCACCCTGGGTAGGGCTCTTGCCTTGCACACGGCCAACTCAGGTTCGATCCCCAGCATCCCAAATGGTTCCCAGAGAACCGCCAAGAGTGAGCCCTGAAGCACCAAATGAAGGGTGTTTGGAGGATGCTCCCAGGATGGGAGATGCACGTTGAAAGTAGATTGTAGACGAAACAGGATTGCCACTCCATGCCTCTTTTGCAGACCACAACACCCAAAAGGAGAGAGAGAACAAAGGGGAATTTCCTGCCACAGAGGCGGGGGGATGGGGGGAATGCGGGGTTGGAGGGATACTGGGATCCATGGTGGTGGAAAATTGGCGCTGGTGGAGGGATGGGTATTTGATCATCGGATAATCGAAATCCAAGCACAAAAATTTGTAAGTCTACAACTGTACCTCATGGTGTTTCACTAAAATTAATTTTAAAAAAAAGAGTGATCCCTGAGTGCAGAGCCAGGAGTCAGCCCTGAGCACAGCCGGGTGTGCCCACCCCTCCCCCTTCCCCCTCCCCCCGCCCAAAGAGTGAAAAGGATTCTTACTGTTAGCTTGAATCCTGGCTAGACGCGCACGATTATCCTTGTCCCAAAGCCTAAAGATAAGAACAGCTTGTCTTCACTGTCCCCTGCCCCCCAAGCCTAGCCCTTACTTGTTTAAGTTTACAGATAAGACAGGAGGTTCCGAAGGCCTGAGTTCAGACTGCAATGCAGGGTCCTGGGCCCCATCCCCAGCACTTCCTGGTCCCCTGCGTCCCCCCCTCTCCCCAGGAACAACTTCTGAGCACTGGGCTGAGAGTGGCCCCCCACTAGCACCGGCAGGAGGGGGGAGTCCCCCAAAATACAAACAAAGGAAGAAAGACAGTGGGTTTGGGGACCTATGAGGGGGGCTGGAGCCCATAGCCTGCCAGCCACCCCCCTAAGAGTCCGCTTCCCCCTTCCCTCTAAAATCTGCTTCCACACAGACCTCTGAGGCCCGAACTCCACCACCTCCCGCCGCAGCTGGTCATAATATCCTGAAGCTGGTGCTACAGATAGGCTGACCACCCAGTCCCGTCTCTCCCTCTCAGCCGCACTGGCCCTGGGCTGAGCCAGGGTCTGTAGTTAGGGAAAGAATGAGTGAGCGCAGACACGGAACTGGCTGTCTTCACGAAGCATCACAGCTCTGTGAAGACGGTCATTTCTCTGAGAAAGATAGGCCATGGGTTTTTGCGGGTCACTTTTTGGATGAGTGGAGGACGGTCAAGGATGGTTTTGAGTTGCCCATGTCCTTTGGTTTGGCAAGGAAAGGGAAGGGAAAGTCTGGAACGGTCTCAAAGCTCCTGGAGAATTGTGACCCGTTCCTGAAATCCCCGAGGCTGGAGTCTCGGGCGCAGATGGCCTGTTGAGTCCTTTGGAATTCAGGGAGGGTCCAAGTGGCTGGGCCTGGCCGAGGGGCGCTGAGTTCCCTCTTCCCGTTTTCCTGCAGGCTGGCGAAGAGCAGACCCCAGGCTGTGCCCCTCCAACCTGTCCCAGGAAGGGAGGGAGGGAGTCTGGAGCAAGGGACGGGCTTTACTAGGTCAGCGAAGGGAAGCAGAGACATCCCCCCGCCATAGACTGGGGGTGGCCGCCCTCCTATTTGCCACTGGACCCCTCTGAGCATTTCTGTCTTTCCCGTCCTATCCTTGCATGTTCCCCGGAGGGAAACTGAGGCCTTGCTTCCAGTGCCAACTCTGCTGCTCATTTCCAGAAACCCCTCCATGCATCTCTCCCACTCTGAGACGCAAACTCTCAGCGCTTTCAGACCCTGAGCTGTGGGTGCCCACCGGCCCCCCGAGGAGGACAGCGGGGATAATGAACCCCAAGCCAGCCCTGGGCCAGCGAGGTCGGAGGAACACGGAGCTGGATGTCCAGCCTGACTCCAGCATCAGTTTCAGGAGCTTTTCTTCCCCGAAGTCAAAGGAGAGGAGCCCTGGAGTCCTCGCTAGCTCACTGCAGGAAGCAGATGTGAGGTCTGGGGGTTCCCCTACCACCCCCAGAGTCAGGCTGATCCTGTAATTAAGTGCTTTGGGCATGAGGCACTCACATAAAAGACCCCCAGCTGGGGGGCCCCCAAGATCTGCTTGTTTGAGCAGAAAGCAAAGAACTTCAGGGTGGGAACGTGACTCAGCGGTAGAGAGCGCTTGCCTTTGCATGTGAGGCCGGGGTTCCATCCCCAACTCTGGGCTGCACATATTTTAAAAGCACTTACTTGTTCCTGGAGGAAGGGTCCTCTGGGTTCTTGAGGGGCTCTTCCTGCTGGGGGCCGCTGGAGTCAGACCTTGGGCTGCAGAAGGACACGAACCTCACCTGGTCCTCGAGGTGGCCTGGCCACAGGCGAGAAGCGGGCGCGGAGCAGACACCTTTAGAAGGCGGGTGGGGAGAATGGCCCGGGTTCAGACTCAGGATGGGGCGGCCGCCCCTCCCTGACGCCCGCATGCCCCCGGCGTCACGTCCACAGCGGAGGGGAGAGGAGGAGGGGCTGGTAATCCCTGTGTCCACCCAGCCTGCCCCAGTGAGTCAGAGCCTGGAATGCAACAGCACAGACTCCCCGGACCCCCCCCCCCCATCCAACCCAAGGCTTGCTTAAGGGGCACCACACACAGAGTCCCCCTACCCAGGTGCCTTCACACCTGGCTACACCCACAAAATAACGCATGCACCTGAAAATCAGAAGCGAACACTGCAAAAGCGAGCACTCACTCGGAGGGTGGGGGGGTCCACCCAGGGCAAGCGGGAGATTCAGGTGATGCTCCCACCCTGTTCCCCAGAGGGTGTGGGGTGCCCCTCTATTGTGGGGGCTCATTTGCTCGTTCCTGCACACCTGCGCTGGGTGCAGTGGCAGTGAGATGCTTCCTGCCACCCACCCCATCATCTCATCACACCTTCTCCCAAGGGCTGTGTGTCTCCTCCCTGCCGCCCCCCACCGCTGGGACCCCGGCTGAGGCCACTGGGAAGCAGTTGGTCCATTTCATCCTCCAGAGAAGGTGGCAGCCTCTGAGAGGGACGGAAGGAGGGAGGAGGGAACAAGAGGGTGGGGGGCCATGAGGAGGGACCCAGAGTCTCACTCAGCACCCCGGGCTGGCAGGGGAGACCCAGACCCCTGACCGTGCGCTCCTCCTAGAGATATAAGCAGCCCATGTCACCCCCAGCGTTCCGTAGGACACTGTGGAGAAGCCGGCCAGCCAGAGCGGTCTGCAGTTCCCAGAGCGAGGCTGAGAGTGAGGGAGAGAGGCCAGAGAGCAGGCATGGCACCGTCCCACTCAGGGCAGCCCGGTGCTGGGAACAGGGACCCAGTGTCCTGGGCACAAGGGGCTAACCTCCACCCAGCCTCCAGGCTAAAGCCCATCTCCCAGCTGGGCTCCCTGTTCCCCACTACAGGCTTTTTTTTTTTCGCTTTTTGGGTCACACCTGGTGATGCACAGGGGTTACTCCTGGCTCTGCACTCAGGAGTTACTCCTGGCAGTGCTCGGGGGACCATATGGGATGCTGGAAATCGAACCCGGGTCGGCCACATGCAAGGCAAACACTCTACCCACTGTGCTAGTGCTCCAGCCCCCCTCCAGACTCTGAACAACTAACGGTGGCAAAGACACAAAATAAAATGTCCCTGCCCCACCCCCCACACCCCACTGGGCATAATTTTACAGGAGAGGAGACTGAGTCCCAGACCTAGACAGCCTCAGAACTTAAAGCCACATGGTCAGATTTTGGAAGTTCCAGACAACGAGTCCCCCTGGCCTCTCCCACATCACCCCAGAGCACCCGGCCCAGCCTGTACCCCTCCAACCTGTCCCCGGGAGGGAGGGAGGGAGGGAGGGAGGAAGGAAGGGAGACCACAGCAAGGAAAGGGCTTTACCAGGTCAGCGAAGGGAAGCAGAAACCCCCAGGGTCCTCCTCGAGACCCAGCTCTCAGCTTGGGTGACCTGCTCTGCCCCAGCGCTCCGAAGGTCTCAGGTCACCACGGATGTGGGCGGGAGGGCCACAAGGCAGATGCTGGCCACCAATCGTGTCACCCTGCGGGCATTTTGGCCGCTGGCCAGCACTTTCCTTCGACAAGCAAACAAACCCCAAGTCCGCCCAATTCCACCCCGTGCGCTTGTAAGACGAGTGGGGGACAGAGAAGCAGGGAGGAAGTTGGAAGGATGAACTTCTCCTTCAGAGCTGACTCAGTCACTTCCTGCCCTCGGGTCCGAGTGAGCCAGGGAACGCTGCTGTGACCGGCCATCTGGAAGGCCCCAGGAACAAGGCTGGCTTCTCCCCACCCCAACTCGTTGAACCCCGGCTCCCCGGGCCCCAGAGTCAGGAGTGTTCTGTTCATACTCTCTCCACTAGATGCGAAGGTCTCAGGGAGACAGAAGCAGAGCTGGTGTCCAGTCACATGGGGGGGGGGGGGGTCAGGCTTGTGTGGAAAGGGTTCTCTCACACAATGTGAAGACACAGCCTCGTGGGGACGTGTGCCCAGACCCGGACATCACCATCACACAGGAGAGGAGCGTGGGGTTTTGTTTTGGTGGGCTTGGAGGCACACCCAAGCAGTGCTCAGGGCTGGCTCCTAGCTCTGTGCTCAGGATCACTCCTGAGGGTGCTTGGGGGTGCCAGGGATGGAACTTGGGTCGGCGGCATGTACGACCAACGCCCTACGACCTGCTGTACTCGCCCTGGCCTCCAGTTTCCAGGGCAGGAGGAAGTGGAGCTCGGGAAAGGGGGTCTGGAGAACAGCCCCCCCCCCGCGGTGCACTGGGGTGCTGCTGCGCCCGGGCCCCGGGAGGCCACAGAGAGAGCCAAGAAGGAGACACTCATGGCGCAGAAGGAGAAAAGCCAGTAGGTGGGCGACCTGAGACACCTGAGCCCTCACAGGCCCACCAGGATCAGGCCAGGGGGTGACGAGTGCCTGCCCAGCCCCCTCTGGACCCCCTTCCCTTGCCCAGGCCCTAATTCTAGTGTGGGGGGCGGACAGGGAGTCCCTTAGGCCAGGGGGCCCCTGGGTGGGGGGTGAGTCCAGGGACCGCCCGTGAGTGCCGACTCTGTCTCTGCTTCGCTCTCACGGCTCAGGACGAGGGTCCTGCGTCCCCTCCCACCCCCATCATCAGAATCCTTCACACTGACTGCAGCAACTGCCCATCCTCTGCCTGGTTCCATATAACAGCGTCCCCGGGCCTCTGTCCAGGGGGAGAATCTGAAGCTCAGAGCAGTGGCCGGTCCTGCCCGAGGCCTCAGCCAGGCTCAGGCTGACTCAGGCAACAGGGGTGGGGGGACGCTGACCTCCCCTCACTCCCTCCCCCCCACACACACACCCTGTCTCCTCCCCACCATCCTGGGCGCGGCAAGAGAGAGGCCCCGTTTGCAGACAGGAAGACCATCCGTCCCAAGAAACTCTTCTCCAGGACGCTGAGCTTTGAGACCAGACAGCCCCCATGGGGATAAAGCGCAGACAGACATGCCCTCGGTGACGTCAGAATCGCAAACTCGATTAGCTGTGGATGGTCTGGATTCTTGCGTGGGGTGAATGCCTAGGAGGGGGCGGCTTTGCCGAGAGCGGGAGGCTGTTCTGGGGGAAGGGGGTTCTGGACCGCCCTGGAGATGGGACGGGCACACCGCTGCCCAGAGCCGAGAAGACAGGAGGCCCCCCAGCGACCCCTGCCCGCCCACGCACCCATCGCCGATCCCCCGAAGGATCCTTAGTTTCTGTCCAGCTCCTGGCAGGAGGCAGGCCAAGTCCTCCCTGGAGTCAGCTCCGACGCTCCTGTCCGTTACGAAGTGCACTTCTCTGCCTTCTTCATCCCTGCAGTTCCTCGAGCAGAGAAGGTTCTGGACTGGCGCTAGAGCCAAGTCCTGCTTGGGGCAGTCACTTTGCTCAGCACCCAGCCCCATGTCCACCCCATGTCCCCTTTACGCCGCTCCACCCCATCCTGGTGATACGCCCATCTTCCCTCACATGGGGTGCCGGGCTTCGATCTTGGGTTGGCCTTGTGCAAGGCAAGAAAACACCCTACCCACTGTACTATCCTTCCGGCCCCAGAAGTGACACGAAACTGAAATTGGCTGGTCCGCCTCCCCCCCAACCAAATCTTTTATTTCCTTGTTTTGGGGTCACACCCAGCGATGCTCAGGGTTTCCTCCTGGCTCTGCACTCAGGAATCACTCCTGGTGGTGTAGCCCTTATGGGATGCCGGGGATCCAACCTGGGTCCGCCACATGCAAGGCAAACGCCCTGCCCAGTGGGTTTGCCTGCCTCTACCCCGCAAATCATTAAATGAAGATTCCAGATCGAGAGGAGGGTAATCCACCATGGGAGAGAAACTCGAACCCCCTGAGGGACCCAGGAGAGATGCTGTAGAGACTAGAGGAGCCGGCCCGTGAGGGGCCTTCTTGGGGTAGGGCGCGAACACACAGGAGACTCAGAAGCAGCATGGAGAAACTGGCGACGTGGCCAGAAGCATCAAGGCGGGCTCCGGAGGCCCTCGCTGGAGGAACGTGCTGCCCGCTGAGGCAAGAGAGTGGCGGCTGCCGGCTCCCGCAGCGCCAAGCACGGAATGACTCCTCCCTGGGGCTGTCTCATGGGAGGGGTGGGGTGGGACAGAAGCCCACCAGGGGCACGTGCATCGCCAGCCCTGAAACCCCGTTTTAGGGAGCCGAGAAGCGCTGTGCTCCCTGGGTCCGCGAGCCACGCTCGAACGCCTCCCCAGGGGGAGGCAGAAACAGTCTCGAAATCTTTGCTTGGGGCTGGAAATTGCTGTTGTTGGTACGGGGACACCCCCCGCCCCGCCCCCGGGCAGCCAAGTCTCGGCTCAGCCCTAGAGCCAGACATCCTCATGCCATCCAAACCACCTCGCCCAGCCGGTCCTGTTGCCGCCCCATCCACTGGCTCTGACCCGCAGGGCTGGAGAGTAGCAGAGCCACTCCCAGCTCAGCACTCAGCGGTCACTCCCAGCTCAGTGCTCAGCAGTGTCACTCCCAGCTCAGTGCTCCCAGCTCAGTGCTCAGAGGTCACTCCCGGCAGTGCTTGAGGGACCATGCAGTGTGGGAAGCAAACTGGCCCTCCCACATGCAAGCCGGCACTCAGCACATTAACTATCTCCCCAGCCCAGAAGCGGGGGGACTTGAATCCAGCTGAATGACACCTCAGTCAGGCCTCCATCCAGTGCCTCCCCGGCCCCCCAGTTAAATGGAAAAATCACCCCAGAAGCCCTCAGAGCTATTTACATCCATAGCTGTGCAGACTGACTGAGCCAAGAGTCCAACCCCGAAGGGCCATAACCTCTCTGAGCTCGAA